CTAATACACTCATACTCAAGAAGCAAAACAGGTGTAATACTGCTCATTTTTAAAGTGATTTATAAACCCAACCCATTTTAATCAAGTGTGTAGAGAAAAGTAATTATGATAGGTCTATAAAAATAAGTTATTCCACAATAACAGTATTCATTTGAAAAAGTTCAGAGTCTCAGAAGTGTTACAAGTTTCCCAGAATTCGCACAAAATAGAAAGATACCAAAAGCATTTAGGGTCTCATTATGGAGAAATAATTTTCCAAATGGTCATCTTTTAAAAATCTGTGTCATTTAAGTTATACAAAGGCTAAAAACCCACTGAAACTGCACTAATATGTTAAATTGTTTGTAAATCCAATTTTCAATAGTTGCTTTCAAGTTTGAGCCCTTATGTGCCTACTTTCAGGTAAAGACAGACCATAACAGTTATGAACACCTCAAAATAAGAGCTTTTAAAAGGAAAATTCAGTCACGCTATAGCACCATTTAATAGAGAAGCATTTGTGTTTTAGATCACTACCCAGGTTCTTCTATTAAGAGAAATGTAGCTATAAAGCCCTGTCTTGACAGATAAAAAGTATGTTTTCCAGTTAAGTTAGCTGAACATGATTGAAAAGCCACGCTGAACATGAAGCTGTTTAGTAGAATGCTACAACAGAACCAGTTAGCAATTTCAAATGCGTTAGCCTGCATCTTAAAGAGTATAAGGAGAGCTTTTCAATCTTGTTACTCTAACTCAGGGGGTCAGCAACCTCTGGCACATGGCTCGCCAGGGTAAGCACCCTGGTGGGCCGGGCCAGTACCCTGGTGAGCCGCGTGGCAGAGGTTGCCGACCCCTGTGCTAACTCATTTGAGTTAACATGATAGACACCTCACCACTCTTTGGCTATTAAGACAGTCTAGAGGTTTTAACTCAGTTACAAGTTTCTCTCTATGCCCTTTTCTAGGCTAAGATTTAAAGATGAGGTACTAGCATGTGTTAGAAAACACATGCTAACTTTTTAAAAGTCTAGTCTAGACAAGTTACAATGCCTTAATACATGCTAAACTGGTCAAGTTAGTGCACCTTGTCCAGACTATTAGCTAACATGTGCTAACATCTACACAGAGCCCAAAACTTTCAAAAATGCTTAACAGACCACATCATTACACCTTCCATATAGAGTGAATACTATCCACAAGTCACTGGACTGTTTTTGAAGCACAAGTATCGGAGAAATCTCTTTGCCGCCACTACTACTTGCTAAAACCATCCTCATTCACTCCTCTTTCCCTCAAGTTGCCGACCCTAACAAAACCAAAATGATAAGTTCTAAACCTAGACAAATCTCTATAATACTGTTACTGACATAACAAATTGTGTCCTACCATACTTTTCCTTAGCCTGGAAACAATATCAAAGCACTTTCATTTAGTAAACACTTGCACAGTTTCTAGGAATAGGGAACTGTCCTTTTTAGTAAAATTATAAAAGCAATAGCTCTCTCATATTCAACTCCTAAACCAGATGCATTAACTTTACACATTAACTTCAAGACACATGCATCAAGCGATGTTAAGCTTCAGACACTTGTGCTAAATAAATGCCAAAAAAATTAATGGAAAGAAAACAAACCTAAGGCACCATATATGTTAATTACTTTAAAGCTCAAATACAAAGAACACCCTAGTTGTAGATACCTCATATGAACTGATGACACCAAGGACAGTCTACAGAATAGTTTATTTACGAAGTTCACTAAATATATGAAAAACAGTAGTCAATAGATAACACCTAACATTCAAATACTGCAATGAAATTACTAATACATCACACCCAAAAGAGTATAATTATTTCAACAGTATTCAGCTATTACAAAAAAACTGTTAATGTTTTATGAGAATAATTCAGGATTATGCCTTCTTCATTTGGAATAAATTAAAGAAACTGATGACACAACACGGAGATATCAATACAATGATAAAATAGCTAACTTCTACTTATATAGAACCTTGGAACACTGTCCACATAAAAGAAGTGTTCCAAGAAGAAGTGGGTATTCACCCACGAAGGCTCATGCTCCTATACGTCTGTTAGTCTATAAAGTGGCACAGGACTCTTTGCTGCTTCCATAAAAGTGACGGTAATCCTTGCAAGTGTTTAGAAACACAAGCTAATAGCACATTATCACTAGGATGAAAAAAAGTCTGTTGTAAAAAATATTTTATGCTTGATTTATTTTGGGAGACAGATCTCCTGTGTTTATTAGCTAAAAAAAGACAGATCTGTTTGATTTTTTTCTCTCTTGACTGGGGAATAATGGGAGAACTAAGCAGCACCAGCATTCAAGACTCTTGATCAAAGAATCCTTACATAGTCCTTGGAAAGACTAAACTGGAAACTTCAAAGTTGATTAAGAGTCAGAAATACATCAATATTGGAATGTCTCATTACAGTACCTGAGTTGTGTTTGGGGGCTTTGTTTGTTAGAGAAAGAGCTGCTTTACAGCAAAAACATTCAATATATGAAGTGGATAATGTATGTTCTAGTTTCTTTACCAACACAGAGCAAAATCCCTAAAAGATTGCAGCTAGCTGTCTAACAACTAGAAGATAGGCACTCTGTGGGTGCCCCAGAATGACAGTAACGTGACACAAGTATTCCCACCACCCCCACCTCCAACTTCCACACCTGCCATGGAAGTCACTTACCCGAGTGCAGACGGGGCACCTCAACCCACCACCACAACAGGTGCCTGCTCTGTTAAACTTCTGACTCCTTCCCCCGGCCTTGGGGGCTGCGGGAGAGTCCGACACCTCCCACCTATCGTAAGGTCAGAGCCGGAGAGTCCTACCAGCCCCTTCCCTCTGCACAGCCGGGATCATCTCCCTGCTCTCCCAGCCCCGGGACCGGAGCGATCCCCTCCGACACGAGCAGCCTGTCCTGAGCACTGGGGCCCGCCACCTTCACGCCAGGGAGAAAAGGGTGTTGCGGCTGCCCAGCCGGTGCCACCTTCCCCTGGGCTGCGCGGGTGTAGCGGGCCCCGGCCCGGCAGGTTGGGGCGGGGACTCCCCGGGCCCCTCTCTCTAAGATGGCAGCGGGGCTGTCCCCACGCCGTGGGGATGGCATTAGCTGGCCTGGTGCGAGAGGCCCCGGCCAGGACACTTACCCGTGGGGGTTGGGGGTGGCCACTGCTCTCCTGCCCGGTTGCCGTGGGGGGCCCGATCCCGGCAGAGGCCTCCTCTCTCGAGCTCCGGGGAGGCGGCGGCTGGGCACAGCGCTTCCCCCGCTTCGGCCGGGGGCCCCGGCACCGCAGCGCCTCCGCTCCGCAGTCCAGCCGCCCTCGGGCCCCGGTGTGGTGCGGGGCCCCGGCGGGAGCCCGCAGCGCGCCTCCCTCTCGCGGGGAGTCGGGCGGGGGGGCCCGGCCCGGCGGGCGGATCCGCGGCGCTTCCTGGCCGGGCAGATTTTCTATCGCTCACAAAATGGCGCGCGTTCCAAACCTGCGCAGCGACCGGCGGCGGCAGCGGGGCCCGGACGCGGCGGCGGCCTGAGCCCCGGCCAGGCAGAGCGGAGACAGCCGCGAGAGCGAGCGAGCGGGGGGAGCGCAGCGCCGAACCGAGCCCCCGGGAACTCCTCGCTCACTTGCCCGCTCGCTCCCCCCTCCCCCCCGCTCCTCCCCCTCCCCCCTTCCGAGCCGGCTTCTCCAGGGCTGTACTCCGGACCGCTCCTTGCCGCGCCCACCCGCGCTGCCGCCTCCCCCTCGCCCCCTCCCTGCTGTCCCTGGGCCCGCGAGGGGCGAAGCCCCCAAAACCCGCGAGGACAATTTCCTGGGTAAAATTATAATTCGGGCGGGAAGGGAAATTATTTGAAAAAAAAAAAACCCCAACTGACAAAATGGCGACGGGACAAGCCTGTTACTATGGCAACTGTCAATCACGCCGCGAGGCGCCCCGCCCCCGAGGCGGGAGGCCGCTCTGACGTGGAAAAGGGGGAGAAATGGGCGAAGGAGGGGCTTGGTTGCCTTGGCAACTGGTGCTTCTCTCCCTCCCTCCCCTGTTCCACCATGGCGTGACGTTATAAACTCAGAGGTGCCGCCGCAGCGGCGGTCGTCCATGGCCCGGGGCCCGCCGAGCCTGCGGAGGGGGCGCGCGCCCCCCGCGCCTGCCTGGGTTTGGCTCCGCGGGAGCGCCAGGCTTTAGCCCCAGCGAGCAGCGGCGGGAGGTGCCTCCTCCCTGCTTCCCCTGGGCCTGAGCCAGCGGGATCTGGCGCATGAGCGGCAGCAGGCAGGAGCCGCGCTCACCCCCTCTTCCCGCAGCAGGCAAAGAAATTTCTAGTGTTCAGTCGTGGAGCGAACCCCTTCCACGCGTTACGGGAGGACAAGCTGAGAGGCAGCGCTGCCTTCCTGGATCTGCAGGCAGCTCCAGTACCTCTGCTGGCGGGCTAACCTTGCAGACTTATGCTGAAGGAATGGCAACGGCAGCTATTAAGAAACCTTCTACTGAGACCAAAAAAAAAAATCCATGAGCAGTAATGGACGCCAGCCCTGCCGCTAGCTACTGGGGAGGAGACCCCACATGGAGATTAGAAGGAAAAGGTAGCAGACCCGCAACTTTGCAGCGCCCACAACGCTTAGCATGCAGAGAACCTAACCCCTCTATCACTGTGTGTAGCCAGCAAGCTAAGGGTAAGATAAGGTCCTCCAGAGACAGCACCTGTTGGAGATCCAGGCTCCTCCTCTTTTCCTGCACGGGGAGTTAGGATCTTACTGAGGCATTTTTCTGCACAAGGTAGTTCCTACATATTGTTCCAGGCTTTGGCTAGTAGGTTTAGCTCCCCAGCAGTTTACACAGAAAATTTTACCACCTATTCTGGCTTGTGAGTGGATCCGCATAAGGGTGAGATTATGGGGGGGGAAAGAGATATTAGATAGCAAAAGTAGGATAGTGGGGAAAAGATTGGTGGGGGGTAGATAGGATGTAGGGAATAAAGAAAAATGGATTAAAAGGTTGGATGGAGAGAAGGAAATACACATTGAAGACAGACCAAAAAAAAAAATCAGTGTCCAGTCCTTAGGGACTGTAAAGCTTCAATTTGGCAGCCATACTACAGATGGTATATTTAGTGTTTATAGCAAGGGTGCCATACACATTCTTTAAAGAGGCCTGAATACTACTTTTATTTTTGGCTGAGGGTCTAAATTTACTTCTACATACTACTCTAAATCTACTGTGGAGTTCCCAGTCATCTTACTGGGAGGCTTGCACAAATATCAGCAGTAGAATATGGCCTTTACTACCTAAACTTTTAATTATTTAAGTCAAAGTCACATACAGCATCACTCAGGGGAAATTCTTCTCCGGTTTAGGACCAGTTAGTGCTATTTGTTTCCCTCTATTTCCTCTTCCTTCCTTGTACTCTATTTTCTGTTGTCTCTCAATGTTTTCTGCCTCTGGGTCTCTTTTTACAGTGTCTGATGTGCAACAATTCCCACCATATAGTTTCACTCCTACACCTTTTTCATCCCATCTGAAAAAAGATCAACAATTAAATAGAGACATATAAAATGTCATTATTAGATAGGAGTATTAATACACAGATTAACATGGACAGGAACTTCACACTTCTCCAAGGTATTAAATGAGGATATTGCTATAATAGGCATTGTAGAAATTTGGTGGAATAATACTAATCAATGGCACACGGTAATACTAGGGTATAAAATATATTGGAATGACAGAGCAGGTTGTGCTGGTGGAGTGTGAAAGAAAGCAGAGAGTCAAATATAGTAAACATTTTAAATGAATCAAACTGTACCACAGAATCTCTATGGATAGAAATTCCACGTTTGAATAATAAGAATATAGCAGTAGGAATATACTACTGACCACCTGAGCAGGTTGGTGACGGGGATTGTGAAATGCTCCAGGAGAATAGAGAGGCTACACATACAGAAATCACAATACTAAGGGGGGATTACTACTACTCCCCCTCCCATTGACTGGGTACATGTCATTTCAGGATGGGATGCAGGGATAAAATTTCTAGGCACCATTAAGGACTGTTCCGTGGAGCAGCTAGTTTGGGAACCCACAAGGGAAGAGGCTAGTTTGGGAACCCACAAGGGAAGAGGCT